ATTTATATTAGTTCGTCTCAACCATCGAGACTATGTCTAGTTCTTAACATAATTAGATCAAGTTCTACTATCTTATTAAAGATACAAGTATTCTTTATCAGGTCACTTCTAACTCAACCTTAAGTACTATTTGACTTACATCTTCAAGTAACTACCCAAGTATTTTTTTTACATAAAGCCTCTTCAAGCTTTAATACCAAGTATTTTGTTACAAACACCTCCATTTGGACCATGTGGGATGTCCACTTGCTCCTACAAGTGGCTTGGGACGTCTAACATGGAAGGGACAAGGTGTTCCTCTGCTATCCAAGGAGCCAACATGCCACATGACTTTGTCTAGTCATACCAAACACACCATAGTCATGGAAACCTCCCATTGGCTCTTTTAGATCTGGGATGGTGGCATGAGTCACATTTTCCTTGCCTTGCCTTGCCACATGACAAGTTCTCATTAGTTATTCTAGATCTAAAATAGTGACATGTGGAGCTTGGTTGGTTGAACTTAACTATGTTAGTTTAGGATTAGTAGTTTGAGTTTAAGTTAACCTAAGTTAGCTTAACTTACACCACAAGCTACTAACTCCTATATATAGCTTTCTACTTATAATAGATCGTCACTTTTAATGAATATATGAGATATACCATTAAGTTTTCTCTCTTTCAAAAGTCTTAGTTCTCTTTCTTGGAGAATTCTCTCCTTAAGAAATTTTATCGAAGAATTCCTCCTTGTGGCAAGTTCAACACTTCTCTTGCTTATCTTCTACAAGAAGTGGCGCATCTAATTTTGCAGCTTCTCCATCATTTTGAACTTTGAAGCTTTGATTCAACCATGGAAGAAGATAGGTAGCACGAGTTAACGATGCTAGTTGAAGTGTGACACCAATCACAATCAACCTAGTTTCATCATAGAGTCTCTGGCTAACTCATGTCAATCACTATTCAGGTAAAGAATCTTTGTCCAACTCATGTTTAATGCCACAAATCTCGCGTCCGAAATCATCCAGGTAGAGAATCACTAATTAGAGCATAATGATAAACTCGTGTAATATATATCACATAATCAATCAAGAAGTTCTCATAACACTTGACATAATAATATGACGTAATTAATTAACAATTATAATCTCAATATAATTTACGTCACGATTAAGCTATATCCCTATATAATTAAATAAGGTAAGTTTTCAAAATTACCAAAACAAAACTCCACACAAAGATTATTTCTAAATTATAATTTCTAACAACAATTATCAGCATTGGGAGAAACTTGTTAGTTATATAAGTCACTTTGAATAGCCTCTTGCACCACCAAAAGCTACTAACGCCCAGAAATCTTGACAACAAAGATAGAATGGAAAATAACACTAAAGCAAAAATCAATCATGGGAAAGCTACTGCCACAACATCAAGCAAGAAGGTAAAAAATAATTTACAAAGAAAGTTTTTCTTACACAGATTAAAAATAATATTTACAAATTTTAGAAAAATATAAAAAATTATAGAGATTAAAATTGAAACTCGTAAATTTTTAAGAAATTAAAAACATAATTAAATTTATAATTTTAATTAGTTGATAAAATAGTTTTTGCACTAATAATATATAAAAATTTAATTAATAATATTATATTCCAATTATATTTATATTAAAATATAAAATATAATGGGTGTTAAATTTTTTAGGGGTCGGATTAATTTTGTATTAAATTTGTGCTACTTTTTATCTTATCAAATTAAATTTAATTAGATCAATTTGAATTGAAATTTTTTTTTTGATAAGCCAAGAATTTATTAATCCCAAGAAAATTGTGCACAAGAAGTGTAAGTCATAATTAAAAACAAGATAATCCAAAAATAAGAAAAAACAAATTTAAGGGACACTTACATAGGACAAAGGGTTCATCAACCATTCTGAAAAAGAAGAAGACATTATTCTAGTAGTCGTACACCACTCCCACGATCTCAACTAAGCCATAAACACAATTAAAAGATAACACAATTAAAAAATAGAAAGTTAAAAAAAATTAATTAAACACTATAATAACATGATCTTTACCAAATTTGTTATAAAAGACTCGCTAAGAAAGCTTCCATGTTGAAAAAAAGAAGAAAAAGAAAAGAGTTTGAAACTCTAAATTTCTAATCTCAGGGGAGCAACACAATTATATAGAATTATATAAGTGTGGAATGTGGATTGTGATGTGTCGACTAAAGTGTTATAATATTAAAGTGGGTGAAAAATTAGATTAAACTTTTAGTCCAAACTTTAAATTTTTTCTTTTACTAATCTCTAATATATAATAATTGATTGATTGAATTAGATTTTTAACATCAAAATCCGTAATATGATTCAAATTTATTGAATTTGCATTTTTTTAATCTGAGTTCAACCAATCCAAATTTTTGGATTTGAATTCATTGAAATTTTGAATTTATTTGATTCATAATCATCTCTAAAACTTTTAGTAATGTTTTTAATTTAAAAGAACATTAAGAGTAATTTTCATATATATTCTAATACATTTTTCTATTAATTATAATTTATTAAAATTAAATAAGAGGTGAAATTTTCAAAATTTTGAATTTTTTAGTAAATTTTAATGATAATAATACTATATAGTGTATTTGAAGTTATTTAATTAGCATTTTTTATAATTTTATTAAAATAAAATATAATGTAGGTTATATATATAAGGCTAAAACCTTATTTTAGTTCCTTATAATTTTTTTTTGTTTCAATTTAGTCCCTCATTAATTTTTTGTCTCAATTTGGTCCCAAACTAATTAATTGGTTTCAATTTAGTCCTAAATTAATTAATTGGTTTCAATGTGGGACTTTCCGTCCAAATTGCTTTAACGGTGTTAACTTTTGGCCACGTGGACGCCACGTAGATGCATACGTGGCATCCACGTGGATGAGAATTTTTTTGAAAACACCTGGACCCAGAACGGCCCGTTCTGAAACCGGAACGGACCGTTCTGGGTGCACTTTTGGTGTGTTAATTTTGCATCCGGAACGGCCCGTTCCAAGTGCAAAATTAACACACCCAAAATGCACCAGAACGGCCCGTTCCAGTTTCAGAACGGGCCGTTCCGGTTTTATTTTATTTT